CTTTTACGCAATAATGTTATCCAACTCAACACCACTCAGGGCGACTATGTAACACGCTCGAAGCCGCGGTTGCTCACCGACTGTAGTGCTCACGCAAAGTTCAATACGCCGTGTCCTCAGGGTTGCTCGCCTCTGAGTAAGTATAGACGGGGTACTCGCCCGTATTCTTAGCATCTAGATAAACAGACATAGTCTATTCTGTCGACTGGGTGCCACGCAACACGCTCGAAGCTGCGGCTAATATCCGAGTTCATACAAAGTTCAATGCGCCGTGTCCTCAGGGGTGCTTGCCACTGAGTTAGAGTCAACAGGGTGCTCGCCTGTACTCTAAGCATATAGATATCCTTGCAACACACAACCACCACTCATTGTGTAACGACTTCGTGCGTCGTATGTGTCATGTTCAAAATTTTATTTCATGCCTAAGCATATATAGTGTTGTGCTGTGGTATTCTTGTCGCATCAAGGACACTGTACCACATCACCAACATATCACTGGGATGCATGAATATTTTCGTAGTGTAGTCTTAGTGTAAATTAAGTACGCACATAAGTATATGCGCAACAATATCGAGTTGCAGATATGTATTGATAATACTAGCTTACTTGCGATTGTGCTGTATTGCCGGAGTCGTTGTACTTGATCTATTTGAATGATACATGATATATAAGACTATTGTAATGTGAAGTAAAATACTATCCTATCTATCTCTTGCAAGTAGTGTGTGCATGTTTCAAAGTCTATGTAAGTTTACTTTATTAATAATAACGTTTGAGTGTGTCTCCTCTCGTGCAGTTGCCACTCATGCATAAGACATACCAACGACCAAGGCCGCTCTAACCTTGGACCAGCCGTCGCTGTCGTCGACTTAAGGTAATACCAACTCGACTCCGACGCCCACTAACCTCAGCAATCATACTTGCACACCTTTCCCTATTCTTCTTACCCATAAAGCATAACCCCCAAATGAATTCGCCTCTACACGACCATCTCGATTGGCGTATGGGCGGTTATGCTATTAGGTGAATTGACTGTTCACTCGGACCTTGAAACCTATTCCGACAACTTGCACATACACCGCGGGTATAAAGTTGGGGTCTAAGATGAGTTTGCATAAAATTTGTTACCGATTTCAAAAACCAGTCTCGACCTTTCCACAACTTCTATAATTCCCAACTGCCGATAAACATGGCGAGAATCTGCCCCTACCGCGCACTGGGTGAATGGTTCACCCGCACATCAACCGAACCCGAATCATCACACCTGTTTTCCATCTCACGCGTCATTTCCGTAAACTCCTTACTGCCGTGGCCTCAGCAACAGAAAATACAGTGGCCACTCTTTACACTTCGGGGGCTTGCCAGTCTTTCGTGAAACAGGGATTAGTGAATCGTTGGCGATGATTATTGGCCGCTGGACGTCAGCGGTTAATATAATTTGCTCGCAACGAACAGCTTGCGACCATCATCGCATTGCTCACACACTCTCCAATTTTATAATTAGAACGGCTTACCTCAGCGGTCACCTTCCTTCAGACAAGCACGATCTCATAATTTATAATTCTAAGCTTTGATTCTCCCTCAAAACACCACCATCCCACCCTGAAAATGGATGGCGCTCAAGCGTGTCACTTATACTTAACCCATCACCTGCTATACTGTAAATACTTAGCTAAAACCTAAAAACGTAACAACCCAATTCTCAATAAGAATTGATGTGCCTCGGGGTATTCGAAAGACTACAGCTCGAGGCCTCGTCCGTCTAGCGCCGTCCCGATCTAAACGGGACATTATACGCTTGACACAGGCAAACCCGCGTTTTGTGATATCGGGGGGGTTTTTTTTTGCCCTAATAACGTTCAGCACCGTAGGTATTCATTTCCAGTCATACTGAAAATTATATTCGAACCCCCACTGTCTGATCGTTTTGTCGGAATTATCTTTCCACATGTTTTAATTAATGCTTTTAGCTGGTATACTAAAACCTGCTAATCAAACTAACGTTCCTAATGATATTACGATCTGCGTTGATGGAACCATTGATGCACATTTGCTTCCAAGCCTCTTTCCTCATGATTTGATTAATTCTAGCTGGCACTAACACCCGCTAATAAAACTAGTGTTCCTACTGGGTTTAAGATCTTCGATGATGACTAAACTGTAGTGTAGTCATGTTCTTGGATGTTTTTCTAGCGCAGCCACGTGACCTACTGGTATTAATTCAGAACGTCTAGATTTTGCTGCATCGTTGATCACTTTGTTAGCATTTTTTCTTGATCAGAGCATTGTAAACCATGGGAAATAATCTATTGATTGAAATTTATCAGCACATTGCTAATTAAAAGGTTCGTTTTGTGATAGACAGCAACTATTGTTCTTAAGCTCAGAACTTACCTTTAATATGGGCGACAGTGCAGCCCATAGTAACATATAAGCATTTGATCCGATCTTATTCAACATCAAACAAACTGTGTAGATGGAACGGCAAACCCGCGACCAAAAGTCCACATTCCAACAGATAAAGTGATGACCATTGGTGTGATCTATATAAAGAAGAGCACTTTTCGAGTTTGAAACATTTGTGAGCTTGAGCATGACGCCACGAGAGCCTTTGGAAGAAAGTTGGGATATTCAGGCGACAAATTTAATCACATATCTGTACTGTTGTTCACTTGATCAAATTGACCGCGCAAGTCTTTGATGGTCAGTACTTGTCTACTACTTCGGTTATGGTTCTGATTGTATAAACCAAGCTTGTGAAAGGGCTCTCACCTGGCATATAAATGTAGCAAATAAAATCTTTTGTAAAGTCAACGAAAAAATGTTTACATATCTACCACGTTGAACAAAAGTCATGATATAGTGCACGTGTTCCGAAATATAGTGGCAAGGAATGTCGAGGTAGGGGTTTCAGTAATTAGACCGGTTTCGCGGACCACAAGGGATTGTTTTGAACTATCGAGCACAAAGGTAACTTCACATGGGTGCTTGTTGCATATCAGTGATATCAGTGAATCAACACAAAAGGAGTAGTACGCGGATGATGAAGATTTCGAGCGTCCCGAAATCGCTTGGCAGGTGCTTTTTCAACGGATCACTGCCCGCCGGGGCGCCTTCAAAGAACTCGTTTTTATGGGAAGAATAGCGTACAAATAAAGCCTGACACACCCATTCCACTCCAATCGCGTTTTTCTTCTCCCTCTAGCTAACGTTTGGGTAGAAATTATACGATGCGGAGAAAAACTTACAGTACGGCACGGGGAGGCTTGGAAAGTGACTTCGCTGTAGACTGTCCCAATTCCAACATCCGAGGTATTCCCCATCTGGTATTATTTCAAGAAGCGGGTTCTGCAGGGTCCAAGCCAATGGATCTAAGGTAGCTTTAGTATCAGTGTGGTGACATAATACGGTAAGATCTTGAAATAAAAGGTGCCGCCGGCACACTATGCTGTTTCAACCGTGTTTCCCGTGATTACAAGGTATTTGGTATCACAAGCCTTCAAGGTATGGCGTAGCGGGACTTGATACTTCTCAGGCGTTATTTAAGTGTAGGACTTTGATTTCTAAGAGAAACGCCGGCACTTGAAAGTAATTCTATACATTTCATTTGTTCTCAACGGGCTGTCCTTTAGTCTACACTCGTGAGCATTCTTTCTGCAATCGACTGCAATTTACCTGTCGATTGCGCCGACAGTGGTTGTAGAACTCCGATAGAAAGTACAGCCCCGCAGACTAAACAATTGTCACAAAGAGACCAGAACGAATTGCCTTGCAACCCGGTTCTGCCCATTCGATCGCTTTTGCACTATGTATACCCAGGTTGTGTTCAAAGAGAGTATTTCCTATCATTAAACGATTGTAAAATCGCGCATATGGAATTGATTGCCAACCTATTGTGCAACAGAAAATTACGTGGACATTGGCAAAGTGTACTATATCACACTTGAAAGCTCATTCCCAATCTCATATGGACCCTTTTAGGACACCCACGCCAATTCAATACGCGCTTGCTTTGCTTTATGATCCCAGTTCAGACAATCAGAGTGGTATAATTAATACAAATGCTCTCACGACGATTGTCCGACAATATAGAAATTTTTCTAGATGCAATTTTGTTTTGGATATTATCTCCAATGAAGTGCCCTACCTAACAATGAATTTATTCTAAAAATATCACCAAAACCTCATTGGATGATTACGAGTGTTAAGCGAGCTAGAAAGTAGTACACATCTGGACTTTCTGGCACAGTTGATTGGTTTTTAATTTATTTTTAGTTTTCTATTTTATCGTTCTACCGATGACGCTAGCGATAACTTTTCACATGATTTAAGCGAAATTAGGAATGTGCACTAGATCGCGTTGACCCCTAAGCACATGCGAGAGCTCTCTCATCAAGGTCTCTACCCGATATGCCACGCGGATATCCGGCTGGATTGGGAGGAAAAAAAAGTATAGAAAAAAAATTCCTATTTTACTAGCGGTGGCACTACTCAGTAGCTCATATCTAATTGAGGAAGGCACAGTAGCGTGAAAGGGGCGAGAATACTTATGAAGGTAGCACATGTGACAAAAAAGCTACAGAAAAAAAAATCGGCGAAAAATAGTGTCCGTTCAAAACATAAACAGAGATGAATAGTGGCTGTATGTAAAAGGATTACATGAATCTATACAGCGATATTCGAAAATAAACAAATAAGCACTACTACATACCACATTAGTATGCTGAATATCATTGCCATCCACTCCTGGTTTAAGGCCATCGGGGCCCAACCTAAACAGTAGAAAAAAGTATAAGGTTTTAGAGTTATAATGTATTTTGAATCTCAATTCGCTCCTGCAACTCATATCGATCAAGAGAGTATATCAAAAATAAAATATATGGATATTGCTGCATAATACCAGTGGGTAAGCCTGTCAGTGCGTGTACCAAGTATCAATATTCGAGTACATACAAATACACTAAATAATACTGAATATATATATATGTATATAACTAAGCGCTAGTTCTGTTTTTCCACGAACATACCATTTGAGCTTTTTCTCCTTCGAAAAGCCAGAAGCAAGGACACTGTTTCGTGCCAACTCACACAAGTCGCATGCTGAAAGCTTCCACAGCTGTGCAGTGACTGAATACTCCTCAATCAACGGCTCCTATATGTTTGAGGTAAATATTTAGATATAAGATAGGAGTGTACAAAGTAAACAAATCAATACACTACTCATACTATCTAAACTACTTGTTATATACCAGTCTACATGTTCGATCAATAATTGTTTCGTTCGGTTTAGAATTGCGTCCGCAGAAGTTTGTACGAGTAAAAAATAAAATAAAATAAAATTTAAAGAAAAGAAAAGTCAATACGATACAGCTATCCCCAAATAAATTTATCAAGTGTGTTTAAGATGGAGTATTTAGAGTACTACGACAACGATTTAACACGCAATTGGTGCACGAATGGAACTTGTAAGGAATTTCAAGCTGCTGACTCCACTGCACATAATACCAATTATATTGGTTGGCCAAATGATCGAACACTAAACAAAACCATGAGCCCAGTACCCATTCAAAAACATCGACACATAAATCTGGCACTATGCTACAAATAATACGCTTCAATTCGTACACATGAACATACCCGCGTAAAATGGAAGAATAGGGGATCGTCTGTTGAGAGAGAGATATTTTGCCCACAGGCAAAGTATTTGGGGAATGGGTGTCGATTGACTTCCAAGAATAGACTGTTGTTACTTAACGGCGACATGGCGATCGGAACCTACAATATGGCGTTAAGAGCAATTTGCATACGTAATCAGATGAGGTATGTTAAGTTTGTATAGTGGACTGCAGATTGACGATCATTTTGCATCGCAGACGACAATACCAAACATACGATCTAAAGCGCTAGTGATGAAGTCGATTAGCAAACAACGAGGAACTAACGTATTCGTTGAATACACATGCAAGTACAATAAAATGCCCAATCTTCATCATATATCGAGCCTAATTTTGAACGTTAAATACTACACATGTATGCACATTTGCACAATGCCAATAGATTGTCTACACTAACGCGCACTCACTACTGCATGCAGTGTCACTCGAATTCACACTGAGCTCAGCTGACATCTTTCACCAGCTTGCGTGGATGTTTTACACAGATTTATATGCGCATCCACTGATTAATTTTAGCACAATCAAAACAAATACCTGGGTTAAGAAGAACAAGTACTCTAGTACAGGGATCTTTCTTAGCGTGAGCCCGTGGTTGATACCCTCCGAAGTCAAGAATGCAGAGGCAATATGATCTGGCAACAATATCGGGAATGCAAGCTTAGAAGGTATGGAATGTGTGTGAATGATTCACTCCAACAAGGTATATCATCTGAAGGGCAATCTGGGTCAGCCACAATCGTCCGCATTACTGTACTTGTACATGTTCGCGATGACTGATCGTGCCCAAAATTGACCACTACTTACTTATGATGATGCCATTGTTATTCTCGGAATAACTGGTATTTCGTTCGATAATAATAGACCCGCGCAGAAAAAAGAAAAAGAAGTGCAGATGCGTTGCATTGGAGATCGATTCTCGACCAGCGTAGTACACTTGCGCTAACATACCGACATCGCCTGCTTCTCCACAGTGAGGCCGGAATTGGAACGTATTGAGTCCTCGCGATGCCCTGATATCGAATTAATACAGATTTGTGAGTAATACTAAATGGCAATCAGCAAACATATATCAAAGGGATTTACCTATACTTTTAAGTGAAGCTCAGTGAAGTTTATGGTCCCAGAAGAATAGAAGATGGACTTCGGGCCTAAAAAACTTGACTGATAAAGAGGATCCGGAATTGGGCACAGAGCTGGATAGATACTGGCTATATTCACAGTTGAAAGCATATATAAATGATATTTCCTTTTTTCTTTTAATGAGACGCACAATTTTTTTAAGTCTGGAGGAATGTCTGTCTGTAAAATATTCGAAGCCTCTAGCCTACACGGACAGCGAAATGGTCATTCCAAGTACTTCATATTTTCAAAATGCGCTACAGTAGCGTTACCGATTCAATCGAACGTCTGACATTTTTTTTCACAGCAAGCGGGGTATAGAAAGTAAGACTATATATATTGATAGAAAATACCTGAACTGATTGAGTGTGCAGATGTTGGCGTAGAGATAGTACATGTAGTATGTGTACGGCGGGTTGTCTTCGTACACCCACTTATCAGCAGACGGGAAGTGGTGATGCTTGCGAACCTCGCGCTTGCTTTCGTCATCAACGGCATCGAACCCTCCAAGCAGCGTAAGGAACTTGCTACGATGTGTGGTTTGTGACGTTTTTGTCCGTGAGCGTTCAATACAGCAGAATCAGAAGTGCACTCTAAGGAGACTAGAGCAACACTTCAAATCTCAACGAGCAGTACGGCAGTCGTCGGTGGATAGAGGCAGAGCCATATGTAGCCCAGACTGGGTGTGATTTAACGGACAACGTTCCGCGTACGGAATCACCTGAGGTAATTCACTCATTCCTGGGCAAAACTACTGACACGAGGTGAATAAATAAATCTACTAATTTAAACTCACAGCTTTGACGGACAAATACACACGAAAGTAAAACACCAGATATATCTTCGAATGTGTTGAAGAGACATTAATAACAGCTCGGTGCATTTCAATCCTATCAAAAACTCCTCGATCTTATTTGTTGTATCCTATGCAGAACTTCGATTCTTTAATACAAACACACCTCAGTTTGGGATGATCTTTAGGGTTTGCAGTAGCTTCGAACAAGGGCCGGAAGATGTTCTCGATCATCTGTTCGAAATTGTTGATAGTGCCGAGCTCTGATTTTGTAGCATTGGATAAAGTAAAGGGTGAGTACGCGTATACGGGAGCATCATATCTATAGCACAAAAATAACGTTCCTCAGAAGATGACACTCAGGGCGACTATTCAATTTGCAACCAACCGAAAAGCGCAACATTCAGCAATCTCTTGTGTGCCCACAGATCCTTTTTAGAACTGTGTACATTGTTTCGACACAAAAAAAAGAAGCTTACTTTTGTATATATTGAACAGTCGAGGGATCTGCACCATCCAGGCGATGTGCTCACTGACTAATCCGTTGTCTAATACCCAACTCGCTAACTTCTCCCACTCGTCCGTGCTGCGACCGTAGATACTCGCACTGTAAAATTAGGATTATGTTCTTCAAGGATTAGGCTATCCGTATGACGTCACGAAGGAGATTGTTTGTCATAATAGACATAAACACACACGCCGCAGTATGACGGCACGAAGGGGATTGTTTGTCATAATAGACATAACACGCACACCGCAGTATGACGGCAGAAGCTGCGTTTGGATATTGTATGAGATTTTTCTTGGTTTTACTTGCAGGTCTGAGTACCAAGGCATACCCCACAGACCATTTATACGTTGCGGTGTGATTCATTCTATGTAGTACAATTTACATGTCTTTAAAGATTGGCACACATGCTGAATGATTTAGGCAACTTCGGCATGCAGTGATTGGAAAAAATTGTACATGATTCGTCAGTTCATCGTAAAACGGATCTACGATCTACATCAAGGTCTATCAAAAAAACAAAAAAACAAAAAAACCCAGAAGAAACTTGATATCTGAGCAGACAGGGGTATCAACGAGGACACCAGACAGTTGAATTGTTCTAAAAAATTCCAATAGAAGCAGAAATACTCACCGAGGTTCCGCCTTTTGATACTTCGATTCCTCCAGATCGTCAACCACCTCTGAGACAATTTCAGCCAAGAAACGGCCCTAATGCAAGCGACATAAACGAAGCAGCATTTGTTGAATCCATGTAATAGCTCCAAACCGTCGAGACGTGCTACAATGTACAAGCAACTATAGAACCGCCATGAATTTGATATCCATTTTGTTCAATAACAAACTTGAGCCTACACAAGCGAGCCTTTCATATTGCATTTTTAGATGACAGACGAAGAAATCAAAATCAAGCATTTCTACGCAATAATAATATGCACACTGGGCCATGGGTGTGTATAATGCGAATTAGCCACATACAACATCTCCACAGGTACATGGTGGAGCAGATAAAAATCGAAATGGATCTTGCAGCATAGCCCCCTGTGCACTAAATCAACAAACAGATTAGAGAGGGAAGCGTGCAGCGACCTTCTCTTCACGACATACAAAACAAAAGATAGGTTCACCTTTTAGTTACCTGGATATGATTATTAGTCTTTAAAAAGATCTCTCGCAACCGAGACTCCCCGATGGGATTATATTTCAAGTTGAAGCGATCGAAGCGCTGGAACGTGCCTCTATCGGCGTGCACATCCAAAGTGTCTACGCTGAGATCATATGTCGTGAGGTTGAGCGATTTGAACACCTGAATATAATAAATGTGGATGACGCGACAGAGAATGAACGGGAATGAATATTTCAAACAGTATGACACAGCTGTCGGAAGTAAATCCAGATCGAAGTAATGTTATTCGAGAGAGGATCCGTGTGTATAACCATACCTCTGAAAGCGTGAGCAACTGATCGTTCCTTACAATGACTTCCTCATCACCCGAAGTTCTCATTTTTTTCTTGATATAGCGCAACAAGTGCTTCTGTGTCATCATTCCGGCCAAATGAATGTGCGTGTCGACCTTACGCACATTGTAAAAGTCTGGAGCGGGCAACAAACGTGGCTAAACATCAGGATGTATGATTCGTCGCCAGTCATCTTTCTATAAACAACTCTTATATCACTACAAAATCACGCTAACTATTTTTCAATACTGAAAACAATGCGTCGAAATTACTTTCAAGATTGAAATATTCAATTCCGATTCGAACGAGACGAACAAAATGATGAGGTTTTACATGCAACGGATATTTTCAACCAGGTATGATATTCAAATTAGCTACGAAGCCACATCGGGCACAACAACCACTGCAGAAAAAACAACCACACACGACGTCATAACAAACACTATCAAAACGTATTACACACGAGATTTTGTCAGACATTGTAGCAGAGTTTAGCGGTGGGCAAGCGTACGGTATTCAGTCTAGAAATCGCAGTACTATCGCTATTAGACATAAAATATAATAGCCACACGTCAACCTACAACACCTATAGGTACCGCACCTCTGTGTGGGACCCCTTTTTGCTGCTTCAATTCCTCTAATTCGTTCAGGAGCAAGTGCATCTCGAATGACTGTGACAGGTATTTAACTCGTCGGAAGCAGTACGTTTTACTGCAGAGTCCAATGCGACCGAAAAAGTCAAAAAATAAGATAGGTGAGAGTCCATGGTACGAGCACATAACTACCCGTCCACTCTGTGCGTAATTTTAGTACCAAAGTCCAGCATAGTCGGGCCTATTATTTAATTGTGCAGGCACTCCTATACACTGAACATTGTGCACCACGGGCACGATTCCCATCTTTTCTAAAACTTCAGCATGAATTGAATATTCACATACCTTTCACCGTCCATCGACAGGGCCATCAACCAGTTGAGATCTTTGTAGTATTTGAAAAGAGTCGGATACGCAAACATTCCTAACCAAAGAAAAGTGAAAATATTGTCGATGAGTTATCAATGGAGCCTGCACGACCATTTGTTACTACGCTTAAATGAAATTCAAGGGCTAAAAACTAAATCGGCTTTTATACTTGATACACTGACGTACAGACGCCCAACAAGTTCTTCATCACGAATTGGTCCCACCAAGACAAACGGTCGCATTGGAAGTTGTTCGCTTGCCTTCAACAAAGTAGCCGATTCCCCCTCACATACCTTGTGTGCTTTCTGACCCGATGGCATCGCTTTCAGCATCGTCTAAGTCAGCCTGCGACTGGAAAACCTCGAACACACCCTTCTTCATTCTGATTACACAGGAGCTGTTCTCGTCACTAGGCATTGGTGAGGGATTGGTGGGGGTGGGCACAGTGTGCCTGCCCGGATTGCCAAAGATATCTAGCTGGTGACTGGTAGATATGCAGAATCTGCGCGCACGGAGAATATCAGAGTGGCAGCAGTTCAGCAACAGCAGTTAAAACTATGAGCGTGACAGTTCATTACAATAAGTTTTGAACGTGATCATACATTGGTGGGTGTAGGTATGTTGTGGCGACCAAATTTTCAGGCGAAGCGGAAGCAAATATGTGGGTGCCACGAAGCTACCTATAACACTAATGTGGACACGCGTAATATGCGAATGCAATGGGAAAGTATGCCGGGATTTCTACAAACAAATATACGTGGCAAGTATCATGGTCTACGTACGTCGTAGTCCAGAACGGAATAAAAAAAGCAACAGCGAAGATATATACAAGAAAATGAGTCAAAGATGTACCAAAGCTATCCGAGGGGCTTCCTAGAGATCAAGTGCGAATGTACAGAAGTACATTTAGTCTCTGAGAAGTATGTAGATGCGGAATCAAAAGTCTAATAATGGCCACGACAGCTGCGCTTCCGCCACTATGGCCACCCAATTGCGTGAATGTACGAAATTTCACAGAGACTATTCTTTCACTACAGTAACATACTTTTGATGACTTCGATGCAGATAGGTTCTTCTCAACTCCATAGCCGTCGCTAATGCCTTGTAAATGATTTTACTCTCATCGGACTGTTCACGTTCCTGTATACGACACCATGCGCGACAGGTAATGCGACGAATTGCTTAAGTTACTTGCACCAATGACAAGCATTATAACCTTGAATACAATACAACAGAGTTCGATTTCAATGAAGGTTCAATATAGTAGAATTGAAACCACGGTGAGCTTGAACTCAACATCCGCCTACTTTAAAAAGCTGCACATGACTCTGAGCGGCTTATGAACTCACAAAGTACCCATAGTAGTTGGTTTCTTCAAACTGCAACCATATACAACGCAGGGAAACCAATGTTGTCGCTAGTCCATATGTCGCTGTCAGGCCCCCGTTTGCTATACGGTACAAGTGAAACAAACGACATTCACCCTCCTGAAGCAACTGCATGAGCCCGTAGATTTGTATATCAGACACATGGGATATAAGCACAAGTTCTGGTGTCTCGAAACATACTAATATAATGTATTGGTTATATCCTTCAGCCAGATAACAACTGAGCCAACTTTCGCACGCTTGCACCTACCCGGGTGTCCTGCACGGACATGCGCTGGTATCGCTGGTTGAGGGAGGCGTCCTTCACACGGTCCACACTGCACTCAGGCGTACGTGTCCATAGCGTAGCGTTCACAATATCTTTCTTTTCCTCTTCTTTTTCCTCCTCGGTAAAAGCTGTGGCATTCTTCTAGTGCATAGCGAGCATATCATTAGTAGTGAACTTCTCACACAGACATTGGCGGATAACGCGCTTAGTCAGCCCGCACCATCAAAAAAAGTGAGCGAAATTAAATTAATGTACAGCGCAGAGAACAACAACCTTGCTTTCAAAAAGCATTTAGACGTAGTTCTCGTTAAGCAGTGACCATGTTAGAATGTATACACTATACGAACATCATCAAATTGTTAAACCATTGCAAACACATTTGAGGTAAACAATTAACCCCACCCACCTATATACGCACACATACACATACACACACACACCGAAACATATACGCACACATACATATACACATACACATTTATATATATATATATATACATATACATATACATATGTATATATATATATATATATATACATATATATATAGAACATATAGTACATATATATTATATATATATATATAGTACTATATACATATATATACACTACACACACACATATATATATACTTAATAAATAATAGTTATACAATAA